TGATATTACATCTGGCATACATCATATCGAAAGTTGAAAGCATTTATTAGCTCTCATCAATAAAATATTTATGTTTTCAAATTTGGTAAAGATACATTTTGATCTTTTAATAACTTATTGTACAATAAAAATTATTTAATATGCAACGTTAATGTATAATTAGGACAACACTTTTATTTCATTCATAAAATTAAGCAAATGGGCGAAGCTGATCAGATTTTTTGAGAGGGTCTTACTCTTTCAAGCCTGTTAACTTTGTATATCAACCATACCTTATCGTTATCACAAAAAATATTAAACTCCAGTTACCTACTTTGAAATTAAAATTCAGTTATACAATGATATTTCCCTATATTACGTTGTGACAGTTTACATTTTCGCAAAAACGTTTATACTTTTTTGAAACAATTTAACCAATCTTTCATCATTACTAAAAAGTGCATTATACATGAAAATCTTCGTTAAAACCCTTTTTGACCAACTGACAAACGAAATTAAATCTTCCGGGAAAACGCGACACGCTAGAGAAAAGTTGCATATGAGAATAGCACAATATCATAACCTGTTATATCTATATTCCGAGTTTGGAGGCTGAATTCCAACAAGAAAGGGTATAGAGAAAAAATCGCCGTGTCAGACACGCGTATGGGAAGTTATTCTTTCATTTCTTCAAAAAATGCTCAATTCGCTCGTAGATTTTAATCCAAATAGGAAATAAAACATTGGAGATTTTTTCTTCCAATTATAAATAAACAGTATCTATTGTTAACCTATTCTTGTCTCGAACTTTGCTAATATTTAAAATAATGGATTTTCTCAAAGATTATCTATGACAGTAATCGGGGTTATCTGAAGAACATTCAAATTCTGTAAATTAAAGGTTACCCAAACGCTTACAATAAGGCTAAGAGTGCCCCAGTGGTTAGCTTCCTAAACAACTATGGTTCTGAAGTTACATGGTTCGAAACCCCGTTACGCCCCCTCCTCCAATAAAAACAGCACTCCACACTTCGAGGTTGTGAGCGAGTTATAATAGCCATGGTCGAACCCACTATTCAATTAAAACAAAACAACTGAAGTGTTGGCGTGGGTGTTGTTGATTAACTCTCTTCCTTCCCGTCTATCACTTCAAAATTAGGAGCAGCTATCGCACAGATAGCCCTAGTGTAGCTTTGCGTGAAATTCAACATAATACGTTCGTATTATAACCATATTCAACTCATGATAAGTTCTCACAGCTAGGATGGAGCATTTCAATATAAAGCTCTAAGAGCTAGAAGGAATAACTGAATATCAAGGCGAATAAATCGTTATCTAGTATTATTAACCTTCTGCGCTATAGGTTACTTTTGAAAATACATCTATTTGCAGGACGACTAAAACTTTTGATCTTATCAACTAAAATATAATACATCAACTAGTTTACCAACGCCTTTTTGATTTTTTAATTAATATTGAACATTATAAATGTCAATGTGTATGTTCACAAGATCACCAAAATTGTGTTTCATAAAGATAATTAGAAAAAGACTTCTCCAATATGCTAATGTTCCTTGTTATTTTTTTTTATTTATTTAAGACGCTTGATGATGATTTGTTTCATGGAACATCTTCTCACCATCCGAGAGCACGTATAATAATACTATATAATTTTAAACCAGACAATGCTGCCATCTATAAGTTGTCAAGTGAAACTGAGTTGACCAATGTAGGTAGTGAATTCATTGCTGCATCTGTTTTTCACTTAATCGCCAATTTTGAAAAATCACAGATATTCATAATTTCAAGGAACAACTATATTGAAAAGTAATTAAAGAGCGTTACTATCATTCTATATATTTTTTACAGTCCACTTTAAAGTTTCACACGTGTGTATATCCAAACAACCGAGATAAAATTAAACTGCTTACTCACTAAAATACAATATAAAACAGCATATAACCAATTACTATTAGTCATATTTCGACCAACTTCGTATTACACATCATCTACATAAAACAGAAGTTGTAACAATGCTACTAACCCAAGAACAAGCATATGAAAATCGCATAATACAGAATGTCTTTGGAACATTATGCGAGTCGTATTGCAGCTTCTAAAATATAATATTTTACACATAGGAAGTATAATTGGTCCATTAACTCTATCCTAAATAGAAAATAATAATTATATTTATCACGTCCGCCACAATAATGACGTTGCCCTACAACACCGTTCGCCCGTAAGCACTCATTATTGAACATAATTACGCAGCCCTGATGAAACCTTAGAATCTTTTATTCTATAACCCGATACACTTTAATTACAAAAAATATTTAGTGTCTGGACCGTATACATAATATGGTTTAAATCTAGGTGTACATTCAAAATGGTAACAGGCAAGTAGTTCAGCTTTTTTGAAACGTTTCGAACAACCCTTCCTAATTTTTGAGCTGATAGAAGTATGCAAATTATTTAACAACACCCATCGCTAACTATTACCTAATCGTATAGTTTGTTTGTTTGTTATGGATTTCGCGCAAAGCTACACGAGAGCTATCTGCGCTAGCCGCCCCTAATTTAGCAGTGTAAGTCAAGAGGGGAGGCAGCTAGTCATTATAACCCACCGCCCACT